TTTTTTTTTTTTTTTTTTCAACTTAATGTCATTCTTTAGGTTGACTTTCCTGAAACAACCATTTTGATGACTGAACCACACTTCAACTTTACCTCTATCAAGGTGGGTTCAATTACAATACAAGAGAAGGCTGAAAAGAGTTATTTATTCGTGGCCTTCCACTTGTCTTGTTTGTGTAGTACAATGCTTTTTTAAATAATAATATTGCGGAGAAAAAGTTGTAGTAAGTTTAGGACTCTCAATGAGGGTTATTTGTAATTAGTTTTCAAGCATTCTCAGATCACAGTGGTGAATGTTATGTCACCATATTCCATGTTGAGTCTCTAAAAAATAGAAACCTTAAATTAAAAATTAGCACCCTGGCATTATCATGTGACTCTAAAATAGCATGAAAATCCTCTGAGTTTTGACTGAAAAGCTTGTACAAACCATGATCACAGGTAATGCAAGTGACAATTGAAAAAAAAGATGCCTGGGGGATGAAGATGTGTCTACTTAGCCATTTGCTAAGATTTACTATCTTGAAAACCTTGATTTGGAAATGCATGGTCATGTGCATGAATGTAACATGTTTTGTTCACTAATGTTAGGATGCTACAGATGAAATTTTGTTTGAAGAATATAATTTCAAAGCCCTTTGCCGAATATCAGGTGAGTCACTTTTTACAGAATGGTGTAGTCACATCACATTTGTTGTCATCATTGCTTGAAATAATCTTATTCTTAATACACCTGTTTTGATGAAATTAACATTCATTAAATTAATGCAATAAAAAAATATATAGTAATTTCTTTCATATATAGGACTGCAATTTGTTTTCTTGTTGTGTTTGCATTCACGACCTCAGGATGCATTAAAAGAATATTATTACAGAAACGAGAACATTTAGTTGTATGTATACATTTCATTTAGATGGGTATATCTGCACAACACAATGGACAATATGTCTTCATAGATAATTAATAATCATGGCATGGACAGATTTCAAAAGCCTCAGGGCAGGTGTTATTGTTGTTTTTTCATCCTTGCTAACTTTATCTGTTCTTTATTCCAAGCTGCCCAATTGAGTGCTTTCAAATGTCACAAAGAAGAAGTGGACAAACGTCTGATATCCCTGGTTGTAGATACTGGATATTCCTTCACACACATCGTGCCTGTTTTTAATGGCAAAATATTGAAGAAAGGGATAAAAAGGTAACAAAATTTTTTTGGGTTTTTAGCAGAGTTTGTGTCTTGCTTTGTTACTCAAAATGACAGTAATATTAAAATAACCTTGGCTAGTACATGTTACGTAAACTTGAGTTGACTTTTCAAGGGTTAGCTCTATGCTTGATTTGTGACAAAAGAGTTACTGCAACAAACATGTATAAAGTGCAAGGAAAAATATTGTCCTTGCTGACATCTTTTTTCTTGTGAAAACTGATACTTTATTTTAGTAACATGTATTCACAACTCTGCTCTTTGTTCTAGGATTAATGTTGGGGGAAAGTTGTTGACCAACCATCTAAAGGAAATCTTATCTTACAGGTAAATAACAGATCACAGAATTTACTTTAACAGGACTTGAATCTTCATAGACACCTTATGGATATTTCCTGTGAAAGTTTCACTTTTCTAAGGATGATTTTTGTTTGAGTTGGTGATTGAGTATCATGTTTACCTGAAAAAAACATCTGTTGTCACCTCATGTCAACCAGGCATCCTTCTTGGGTGGAATGATTATCAGATATGACATTTAAACATGGGTTATTTGTTGTAATCAAACAGTCTGGCTTTGTCCCAAATCAACTGGTGATGCATAGATTGTTTGATTCTCACTTGTCATTGGTTTATTTTAGTCTGTCAAATTCTCCATTTTAGCCTGCAAAATGCGCTACAATGCCCGACAAAGTGACAATAAACTGAATTTTTGGAGCTGACAAAAAACTAACATTTTAACTGATCTGATTGCAAAGACCTCATTCCAACTGTAACTGTAGCTGATTTTAGTTGACTTTTTTATGCATGACTTACTAGTGAGATCAGCAAACTTAAAAAATCTGCAGCATATACACAAGAAGTTGTTTGAGGTTTCTTGGATTTTTATATATCTCTACCTATGTGATACAAGTCGCTCACTTTGCATAAACATACATAATACATGTAGATCTTGCTCAAGGTTATAACCTTTTCTTAACATGTATTTTTAACTAACAGGCAACTTCATGTGTTAGATGAAACATATGTCATTAATCAGGTAGGTACTTAACTTTAAAGTAGATGTCATATTTTTGATATTGATTGTCAAAAGTGTAGCTGGAGAAAAATATTTTGTGTAACTGAACTGTATTTGGGATCTATTTATTAACTTCTAGTAGCTCTTAGTTTAATGCTCAACCTACTGCCAGGTGATCATTGGCCATTGCTTTTCATGTGATCTGTCATATGTAAATTATGATAAAGAAATTAGCCGGCTTCCACACCTTGTAACTGTTGTTTTTTCCTTTGACAGGTTAAAGAGGACACTTGTTATGTATCAGATGACTTTTACAGAGATATGAGTATTGCTAGGTACTCTTTGAGTTACTTTGAAAAATTGGAATCAAATAAATGAATATGAATGAATAAATTCTTATTTTTTTTTTGGATGTTGCACAGCTACTGACATACAGTTTAGATTGTGTTGCTGTTCAGTTTTAACCTTTGTTAAAAATGTTACATGCTTTTTTTTTGAAAATATAGGGGTTTAACCATTAGTTTGAAGTTGAAAAAAGTACAATTTGTAATGGGTTTTCTTTTGTCATTCAATGTTAAGCCAGTACTCTCTTTTAGGTTTAGACTGGATAAACCGGTTAGGTCTTATAGTGAAATATCCATAGATGGTTTTCTGAACAGTACTACTGCCAATATGTAAACCAGTTTTACAGAATTTTTATTTATTTTCTCTCTAAGATTGATATTTCTAATGGTATATTGGTAAAGGAATCTTTCACTTTCTTTCCATTTCTGTGTTTCCTGTAGGCTAAAAGGTGCCAAGAACACAGTTGTGAGGGATTATGTGTTGCCTGACTACACCCATTTGAAGCGAGGTTATGTTAAGGTCAGTTTATCATCTTGTTCTTTAAAAATAAGGTAACATTGAACTTGAGGTGTTGCTCATCACTTGCAAACTTGTGGCCAAGGTGGCTAGGGGTACATTCGACCCTCTTTTTTGTCTCAAAAACTGATGCCTGGCATGCCCTCAAATACAGGTATATATAGGAGGGAAGTGTAGAACCTCTGACTGGAATATCTTGTTTACTCCCCAGCTTAATTATTCCCATCAGTATCTATAATTGTAAACAATGTATCTTGTGTTAACTTGGTACAGTATAGTTTGAGGTTCATGAGTGAAAATACATGTTAAATGTATGACCTAAAACCTAACTCATCTCTAGTTAGTTCTGTCTATCTGCTACCCATTTTTCAGCACTTTGCAGCTCTCAAAATGGTCCTCTCATTTGTTAGTCTTGGCAAGGATTGTATGGACTGCACATAAAACAGTTAGCAGGGAACATCTTGTACATTTATTGAAGAAAGTGCTCTTATTTTTTCAGTCAGCAACAGAGATGTGGCTTGGAACAAAGAAAGAAAATGAACAGGTTTTCATAACTATAATTCTGAAGAATTATCTGTTTTCATATCAGAAAGTTGAGTCACCTTAAATTTAATTGAATCCCTCTATGCTTTTATTTTATGCTTTAATTGTAGATCTTACGAATGAACAATGAAAGATTTGCTGTTCCAGAGCTGTTGTTTCATCCATCTGATATAGGTAGGATGAGTTAGAATATTGATATCCTAATGTTGGTTATTCAAACTAGAATGGTTGCTTTTTTTGAGCTCTCTATCAATGTTATCAATGAAGCTTCATCTTCAAAGATGTCTCATGCATAGGTCCATATGCAGATAGTAAAAACATCTTCAAAGATGTCTCATGCATAGGTCCATATGCAGATAGTAAAAACATCTTCAGATTCTTGCTTGAATGTATTATGTACATGTTTATACTTTCTATTTGAGAAAAAATTTTATAGCAGGTGTAGGTGAATTTACAGATATTAGTTTTAACATATAATTTTGAAAAACTAATCTTGCACTTGTAGTTTGCCATTGGTGTATAAAATAATTGTGGCTCAAGAATTAAGCAATTTGTAATGAGCACTTTCTCATCAATTGGACTTGACAATAATCAGTAAAACGAGGAAATTTCTTTTATTGAAAAGAATAAAATTTTTTTCTTTGGGGGGGGGGGGGTTTAGTGGCACTTAAACATTTGATAACCATATATTGTTTCTATTAAGGAATCCAGGAAATGGGAATACCAGAGGCAATTATTCATTCCATAGAACAGTTGCCAGTAGGTAAGTAAGTTGTTATCACAATCATTTAAACAAATACAGTTTTATGCTGTTCTAGCAGTGGTTCAGACAAGGAGAGAAGGTTTTCATTGCACTTCCTTCTCCCTTGTGTAGGTGATCATTCACTCAGTCAGTCAATCAATGAATCAGTCAATTACACTCTAAATTTCTTTGTCATTCAACAATTTACTCATAAAAACATCAGTTGAGTGATCTTTTGATTCAGTTTAGCTGGTTGAGGTAGCCGACAAGCTGATATGAACCTTTTGTATTAATTTATAGTCTCACTCAG